AGTATGGGGATAAAGATCGACTTGAATATTGAGAGCTTAGTTTTCAGACTGAGCTCTGCTTTCGTCACAGTGGGTCGGGCTGGTTCGCGCAGAACGTCACTGGCTACTCCAGTTCGCCGATCGACGTCTTCCTCAAGTTTTCGATCACTAATAAATACGACTCAGAGATTCTTGATCTTCTCCAGCTGCTCCACTGCCTCTCCGTTAATCTTACGCTCACTAGAACGAGATAAAATGAGGCTTTTCATTTTAGATGCGTCTACCTGCATGCCGGTCATGTCGTACTCGGCTGCGAACCTTTCTAGGGAGCACTGCAGATCAGTTTCAGAAGATGCTAATAAAACAAGGTCGTCTGCAAATAGCAACCTTTTCGTCTTCACATCTCCTACACTGATACACTCATCGCCTTATCAGATCCTGACTATTCTATCCATATGCAACACAAACAGGAGAGGCAACAGGACGCTCTCTTGGCAGAGACCAGTGCGATCGTTCAGTGGTTTCGACCTAACGCCATTAACTCTGACGTAGCAGCTGCTATCATAATACAGTTATTGGATGGCCCTTAGCAGCTGGCCATCTATCCCGTATGCTCGAAGGCATGACCACAGACCGTGGGATAGGCTTTCTCTGGATCAACAAAACACATATGCACCGGCGTGCGCCCACGATTTCTCAACAATCAGTCGCAGGGCAAATATATGTTCAGAGGTGCTTCGACCGGGCCGGAAGTCACACTGCTGTTCTTTTTTGTTGAGCTCAGTTATTTCGCTGCACTTCCTTTCTACCACGTTTGCGTGCACTTTACCTGGGAGGCTCAATAATGTAATAACCCTACAGTTGGAGAATTCCTTGTTGTCTCCTTGAATACGGGTACAATAACTCCCGTTCTCTAGTCCTCTGATGCCTTTCCTGCAGTTATCACAGTCTGATAGACTCGTGTAAGCCTTGTTCGCCTTATGCCTTGAGCATCTCAGGGTAAATTTTATCAATTCCAGCAGCCTTTGCATTTTTCAAGCTTTTCACAGCTTGTGCAATTTCATCTATAGAGATAGTAATATCCGTACCCTTCTGTTCTACAGACTAGTCTTCCTGCGGTTGCGCGGGGTTAAGTAGTTCCTCAAAGTACTCGCCCCTTCGCCGAAGAACATCATCATCTTCCGTAACAGTGTGTCCAGTCCTGCTTTTCAAGCTCTGAGACTGCCATTGTTTTCACATTGGAGCCGGAGGATGGTCGGTCAGAACACTTTGTTTGCCGTCTGGGAAGTCAACTCCAACACCTCGCCGAACTTGTCCCAGGAATCAGCTTTCGCTTTTGCCACTGCTTCGCTGCCGCCTCGCCTGCCTCGACATATCGCATGCGAGTAGAAGGTTCTTTGTTTCCAAGCCATTTTTTGAACGCTGCTTTTTTCTCTTTAACTTCCAGTTGTACCTAACGTGTTCACCATGAAGATCTTTGCTGGCCTCCAGGCGGCAGGCCAACCCGTTTATATCCGCTGCATTCGGCGGCAGCCTCGAGTAGGCTTCTCTTAAACAGCTG